GGATTTCCAGAAAACATTGCAGACTCCAGGAACCATTTGCACTTCAATTTGAGATTCAAACAACACAGACTCATCCCCAACAGCCTGTGTGCCCGTTTTCAACACGCAAGGGACCCAGGGCAGAAAACATCCTGCAGCCAAGAAGGCTGCACAAACATTTGCACTACTCAGGCAACCCTGAGGACACAGATAAACCTCCAGCTGGCCTCAACAACTTTCTAAAAATGCAAATGACCAGCTGTCTTCAAGGAGTATGAATCCTTCCATTCCCCACCATCCCAGTCAGAGCTGAAGAAGCTTCTTGGATGAGAAGCGAAACGTCTTCAAAGAAAAACAAGAAAGTCCATTTGCCTCCTGAAATAGCACTTTTGGGAAGGGACCTTAGAGGTCATCTAACCCAACCCCCTATCTGGGGCAGGATCCACTGAAGCATCCTTTTGAGCCTTGTGGAGGCAGTGGCTAAGAAGATGGGTTAAAACTGGGGCACTGTGAATTTTAAGGCTCCCTAATCAGTCCTCACACTTACGACTGTTGCAACATCCCTACAGTCAGGTGATCAAAATCCAGATGTTTGTCAACCGGCATGTATTTACAATAGTTGCAGCATCCTGGGGTCATGTGATCACCATTTGTGATCTTCTCAACTGGCTCCCAACAAGCACAGTCAAGGGGAGAAGGTGGATTCACTTAACAACCCCATGATTCACTGAATAACTGCAGTGTTTTATTCAACACCCGTGGTAAAAAAAAAAGTCATAAAATCAGAGGCGATTCCCTTAACAACTGCTTTGCTTACCAACAGAATGTATGTATGTATATGAATCAAAAGTTGAAATTAAGATTGCCGGGAGAAATATCAACAACCTAAGATTTGCAGATGATACCACTCTAATGGCAGAAAGTGAAGGGGAACCAAAGAGCCTCTTGATGCGGGTGAAGAAGGAGAGTGCAAAAGTTGGCTTGAAACTCAACATTAAGAAAACCAAGATCATGGCATCCGGCCCTCTCAATTCCTGGCAAATAGATGGGGAAGAAATGGAGGTAGTGACAGATTTTATCTTCCTGGGCTCCAAGATCACCGCAGATGGGGACTGCAGCCAAGAAATTAGAAGATGCTTGCTCCTGGGGAGGAAAGCTAGGGCAAATCTAGACAGCATACTAAAAAGCAGAGACATCACCCTGCCAACAAAAGTGCGTATAGTCAAGTCCATGGTTTTCCCAGTTGCAATGTATGGCTGTGAAAGTTGGACCATAAGAAAGGCTGAGCGCCAAAGAATGGAGGCCTTTGAACTCTGGTGCTGGAGAAGACTCCTGCGAGTCCCCTGGACTGCAAGGCGATCAAACCGGTCAGTCCTAGAGGAGATCAACCCTGACTGCTTTTTAGAAGGCCAGATCCTGAAGTTGAAACTCAAATACTAATGAGAAGGAAGGACTCACTGGAGAAGAGCCTAATGCTGAGAAAGATTGAGGGCAATAGAAGAAGGGGACGTCGGAGAATGAGGTGGCTGGATGGAGTCACTGAAGCAGTAGGCGTGAGCTTAAATGGACTCCAGAAGATGGTAGAGGACAGGAAGACCTGGAGGAACGTTGTCCATGAGGTTGCAATGGGTCGGACACGACTTTGCAACTAACAACAATAAATATATGTATGTTATTTATTTCTTTGCTGCCCATTCTGCTGCAAGATTCTCCTCTGTAAATGGCATTTGAAGGGACCGTGCCCCCCCATTTCATTATCCATGGCTGTTGCTTGGGGGGGGTGTTATAGAGCTCTTGCCTAAAAACTGTGGCAAGGGGTATCTCCTAAACATTAGTGGTGCCTTAAATGGAGAAGTCTAGATAATATGTTAAAAAATACTGTACAGATAGTCCTTGATTTACGATCACAACTGAGCTCAAAATTTCTGTTCCTAAGTGAAACATTTGTTAAGTGAGTTTTGCCCCCATTTTACGTCCTTTCCTGCCACAGGGAATCATTATAGTTGTTAAGTTAGTAACATGATTGTGAAATGAATCTGGACTACCTGTACAATAATATTAATCACTACACAGTGGCTAATATTAACCCCAATGGCCCGAAACAAGCCATATTCACACCCCAGGACTGCAAACTGGATTGGTTCATTTTAACCAAAGTTAAACCGGAGGGGAACACAAGCTTTAAGCCAGGGGTCTTCAAACGTGGCCCTTTTGTGACTTGTGGACTTCAACTCCCAGAATTCCTCAGCCAGGCACGCTTTGCAAGTTTGAAGACCCCTGCTTTAACGCAAAGGAGCTTCGGTTCTTTCCTGTGGAATTTGCTGCCTTATTGTTATTGCAATAACACAGAGGTTGCAGGAAATAATTAAATAGATACTAATCAAAATCGGGTTGGGATGTGACGAGAAGTTGCAATTGGAAAAGGAGCCAGATCTAATCTTGTTCAATGCCCAAGACGGCACCAGAAGACAAACAGGATACAAGCCACAAGATTACCGAGGCTGATTCATAACTTAGATCAATGTTTCTCAACCCTGGCCTCTTGAAGGTCTGTGGACTTCAACTCCTAGAATCCTGGGAGTTGGTCCACACACCTTCAAGCGGCCCGGGTTGAGAAACACTGGCTTAGGCAAATAAAAAAAACCGATCTAAATCAAGAAGAGATCACTCAAAAACAGCGATGATGATGATGATGGTGAAGAAAAAGAGAAGGAGGGATCGAATTGAAAGGTAAGAAGCCAAGGGTCCTCCAAACTGCTCAAGAGACAACGCATTTAGGCAAGAAAAACCAAATGTACAGGTATAGTATAGGGGGTACCTTGCTCAGTAGTAGTAACTGTGAGAGGGACCTCGGAGTCCTAGTGGACAATCACTTAAATATGAGCCAGCCGTGTGCTGCAGCTGCCAAAAAGGCCAACACAATGCTAGGCTGCATTAAGAGAGGGATAGAATCAAGATCAGGTGAAGTATTAATACCACTTTACAAGGCCTTGGTAAGGCCGCACTTGGAATACTGCATCCAGTTTTGGTCACCACGATGTAAAAAAAGATATTGAGACTCTAGAAAGAGTACAGAGAAGAGCAACAAAGATGATTAGAGGACTGGAGGCCAAAGCATATAAGGAAAGACTGATGGAATTGGGTATGTCTAGTTTAATGAAGAGAAGGACGAGGGGGGACATGATAGCAGTGTTCCAATATCTCAGGGGCTGCCACAGAGAAGAAAGGGTCAAGCTATTCTCCAAAGCGCCTGAAGGCAGGACAAGAAGCAACGGATGGAAACTAATCAAGGAGAGAAGCAACTTAGAACTAAGGAGAAACTTCCTGACAGTGAGAACAATTAACCATTGGAACAACGTGCCTCCAGAAGTGGTGAATGCTCCAACACTGGAAGTTTTTAAGAAGACACTGGACAGCCATTTGTCTGAAATGGTATAGGGTTCCCTGCCTGAGCAGGGGGTTGGACTAGATGACCTCCAAGGACCCTTCCAACTTTATTATTATTATTATTATTATTATTATTATTATTATTATTATTATTATTATTATTATTATTATTATTATTATTATTATTATTATTATTAAGACAAGTCAACTAAAGAAATCCAAGACGATTCTACTTCCTCTGTTCTGTTTGCAAAAAAAATTGGAAACCACTTTCTCTTTTTCATCAGATGGAATTATCAGTTATTCAAGAAATAGACAGATTATCATCATCATCATCATATCATGCATTGCAGTTGTCTCTGCCATCCACACTGTATGTTTAGGTTGCTTCTTGATTGGAAGGCTAAATCTACTGTGCCAATAGGGGTGGGGGGCGGGGAGATCATTGTTCCCCAAATTTCTAAATTCACCCTCCCTCCAACAAAGGAAAAAAGAGGGGCGGCCTCTTGCAAACAATGCTGCTGTTTCCTTCTATTTACCCCACCCACCCCTATTAACATGCTCCAGAGCCCTCCAGTTTCCCCTCACCCTTTAAAAAAAAAAGACAGGCCACGTGCCTGGCGTCTCCTGCCCTTCGCCCACCCACCCATGGCGGGGGGGGGGCACCTAGATTTCTCCAGTTAGTAGTATCCTCCATTCCCCCCCCCGTCTCTATACCCCCCTCTTCCTCCTCAAACCTTCCCCTACCCCAAGTATCTGTCCTCCGGAGCTTTGTCTACCGAAGGCAGGGCTGGCCGGTTCAGAGAAAGCAAGCCTTAGGCTTGGGGGGGGGGATGTTGTTAGGGGGAGGGGGGAAGGAAGGCAGAAGTCTCCTTTGAAGGCTTACAGCCTTCTCTCAGCGGAAAAGAGGAAGACCCCCCCCCAAAAAAGAAGGATCCACCCTCTTTTTCAAGGTTTTTTTTGTGTGTGTGTGTTCTTTCTCTCTATGTCCCTTTCGTTTGCGGTCCTTCCTCCCTCCCTCCATGGCTCTGTTCATTCATTCCTTCGCTCATTCGTTCTCTACATTCCTTTCTTCGTAAATGCTCCCGTCTCTTTTCCCTGCACATTTCCTTCCTTCCTTCTCTCCCTCCCTCTTCCTTCCCTCCTTCCTTCCTTCCTTGTTTCCTTCCTTCCTTCTCTCTCCCCTTCCTTCCTTCTCTCCCTCCCTCCGTCTTCCTTTTTTATTTCCTTCCTTCTTTCTCTCCCTCCCTCCGTCTTCCTCCCTCCCTGCTCTGCTTCCGTATCTTTCTCTTCTTCTTTACCCTCCTTTCCTTCCTTCCTTCCTTCCTTCCTTCTCTCCCCCTCCCTGTCTTCCTTTTTTATTTCCTTCCTTCCTTCTCTCCCTCCCTCCGTCTTCCTTTTTTATTTCCTTCCTTCTTTCTCTCCCTCCCTCCGTCTTCCTCCCTCCCTGCCCTGCTTCCTTATCTTTCTCTTCTTCTTTACCCTCCTTTCCTTCCTTCCTTCCTTCCTTCCTTCCTTCCTTCCTTCCTTCCTTCTCTCCCCCTTCCCGCCTTCCTTTTCTTTCTTTTTCTTTCTTTCCTTCCTTCCTTCTCTCCCTCCCTCCGTCTCCCTCCTTCCCTCCCTTTCCAGCCTACCTCGATCTTGTCCACGCTCCGGGCGCAGCCCACCACTTTCAGCCCGTGCTGCACCAGCGCCCGAGCCACGGCCGCTCCGATGCCCACCGACGCGCCCGTGACCAACGCCACCCGGTTCTTCCAGCGCTCCATGATCCCCGAGCCGCGCCGCGCCGGCTGCCGGCGCCTGCCTGCCTGCCTGCCTCCAACCGCGATCGGTTCCTCCCTCCCTCCCTCCCTTCCTGCCTCCCCGAAGCGCTGGAGCCCGTCCGGCGGAGCTTCTCCCGGGAGGAGGAGGAGGAGGAGGAACCGGCCGGCGCCTCCTTCTCCAAGGGCAGCCTCGCCCTTCGGCTGGCGAGAGAAGCCGGCAGGAGGCGGGGAAGCGACGCGGCCCCCTCCCTGGGCAGGGTTGAAAGTTCCCCTTGCATTTTTCCAGCGGGTGGGGCCGCCGGCCGCCCCCGGGAGCAGCGCCAGGCAGCATCGGAGGAGTCTCCTCGCGGGAAGGGGCGAGCACCGGGACAGGCCTGCCTCCTAGCCGGGGGCCCCGACCTGCCCCGGCCGGCTGGCTTTCCGCTTGGTGCCTTTGCCTCTTCTGCAGCCAGGGAGTGAGCCAGGCTTAGGCTATTTAGGGACTGGACGCAGGGGTAGTCAACCTTGGCTCTTTTATGACTCGTGGACTTCAACTCCCAGAATTACTGAGCCAGCTTAGCTGGCTCAGGAATTCTGGGAGTTGAAGTCCACGAGTCATAAAAGAGCCAAGGTTGACTACCCCTGGACTGGAGGCTAAAACATATAAGGAACGGCTGCTGGAATTGGGTATGTTTAGTTTAATGAAGAGAAGGACGAGGGGGGACATGATAGCAGCGTTCCAGTATCTCAGGGGCTGCCCCAAAGAAGAGGGAGTCAAGCTATTCTCCCAAGCGCCTGAAGGCAGGACAAGAAGCAACGGATGGAAACTAACCAAGGAGAGAAGCAACCTAGAACTAAGGAGAAACTTCCTGACAGTGAGAACAATTGACCAGTGGAACAACCTGCCTCCAGAAGCGGTGAATGCTCCAACACTGGAAGTTTTAAAGAAGAGAATGGACAACCATTTGTCTGAAATGGTATACGGTTTCCTGCCTGAACAGGGGGTTGGACTAGAAGACCTCCAAGGTCCCTTCCAACTCTTGTTATTCTGTATTCTGTGTATCCTTATGGTCTGGTCATAAAACAGTCTTTTCCTCTTATTTGGATCCAGCCGGGTGGGTGGATAGGGGTTCTCCGATCTCCCCAGCCTTGGCACCCCTGGCAGAGTCTCGCAATAGAGGCAGAAACGGTCGGCCAGGCCACGCCAAATGTCGTGCCAATCTAGATGTCTGCTGACTCAAAGGTGGTGGTGAAGCCTTCATCATGAGAAGGTCCTCGAAGAAGGAACATGGACCTCCAAGCCATCTTCAGCCATGGAACTCTGCTGGTTAACTTAACCCCCGTCCTTTCTGCACCTGGTCTACCCTGCAGGGTTGTTGTGAGGAAAAATGAGCTGCTGGAGGAAATCGAAGCTGTGGTTATAAACCTTAAATCTAGTGAAATATGAATCGTAAGATAATCACGGTCTTTTGAATAAGTAGGAGGATGCTAGGCAAGTAATTGAGAAGAGGCAGTTTCTCTTCTGCTGTTCCTGGCTATGAAGCATTTACAAAATGGTGGCTCACTGGACCATCTAAAATGCGGATGGGGCTTTGATCACATGACCGCAGCCTCCATTTTGATTTTTTGGGACACCCTCTTGAATCTTCAGTTGTGGTTATAATAATTTATACTCCTAGGAGAAAAGCCCTGAATCTAACTTTGTGACGCAAGGAGAGAACAGCTGACACAACAAATCAGACTTTCTCCAAGCACCTGCTGGGCATCATCTGGGGGGGGGATTCATATTCTCTATTGAAGGGTCTTCTTCACTGCAAGTTTTCAATCTCTTTGTCCTTATTCAAGGCTGTGTCAAACCTTCCCCCTAACTTCGCTTCTTCAGTTGAACATCTGACTGCCAGCAATTCGATCCTGACAGGGCTCAAGGTTGACTCAGCCTTCCATCCTTCTGAGGACTGTAAAATGAGGGCCCAGATTGTTGGTGGGCAAATATGCTGACTCTGTAAACCGCTTAGAGAGGGCTGTAAAAAGCCCTGTGAAGCGGTATATAAGTCTAAGTCAAGAGGTCTTCAAACTTGGCCCTTTTATGACTTGCGGACTTCAACTCCCAGAATTCCTCAGCCAGCGTGCCTGGCTGAGGAATTCTGGGAGTTGAAGTCCACAAGTCATAAAAGGGCCAAGTTTGAAGACCCCTGGTCTAATTGATATTGCTATTGCTGTCTTCAAGAAAGCTTCTGAAGGATTGATGGGGCTGGTGCAAAGGCCCAGCTTGGGGTGCACCAAGTGTGCCTACACCAATTGGTGTGCACCAGTACACCATTTTGAATGTATTTTTCCTGCCGTTTTATCACTTTTGTTGAGTGTGTGCCTTCCCCGACTGTTTTTATCCCCCCCAAAAAAGAGCCTAGAAAGGATGCAGAGGAGAGCAACAAAGATGATAAAGGGTCTGGAAGCTAAATGGTATAATGAACGGCTAAGGGAACTAGGTATGAATAGCGCCTAATGAAGAGAAGGATTGGGGGGGGGGGGGGGACATGATAGCCATCTTCCAACTCTTGAAGGTCATCGCGATGAGGTTGACTTATTCGCCACAGCACCTGAGGGCAGTATAAGAAGCAGTGGGTGGAAGCTCCTCAGAAGGCAATCCAACCTGGAACTAAGGAGAATTTTCCTGTCAGTGAGAACAATTAACCAGTGGACCAACTTGCCTCCAGAAGTTGTGGGTGCTCCATCACTGGAGGTTTTCAAGAAAAGATTGGATCACCGTCTGTCCAGAATGGTATCAGGACTCCTGTCTTGGGCAGGGGGTTGGGCTAGAAGACCTCCAAGGTCTCTTCCATCCTATGATTCTATAGTGGGGTTTGCAATATATGGGGTGCAAATAAACAAGTATTATTTCAGCCTAATGTAGAGTGCAAAGTGGATAGTTTATGAGGCATCTCTCATGTGAAACCACAAACCAGTCCGGCTAATTTTGAAAACAATGGTTAAGATAATCATAAATGATGTACTGCATAAAGTGCCAACATGGGCCCTAGCAAATAGTTTCCAATAAAGGTATATAGATTATCTCTTCTTCTTTTTTTCCAAGTTCCCCACCCCCTTCCCTTCCTCCATTCAGCCTTCTTTTTTAGGAGTTGGCAGATTAAAAACCACAGAACTTAAGAAGCTTAAGAAAATCCCATTTGAAACACGAATATTAACACAACATGGAGGCTGTGTTTGCACAACACCCTGAATGGTAAAAGTAGCAAATTGTAAACATCTGAGCTGAATATACTGCATGAACTATGCCAGCTTGCTTAGTTTACGGTTGACCGGATCACGAGAACTCAGGTTTATTGGAAAATCCATGGTTATGGACCAAGGCTTATGTTTTATGCAACAGGGCACAGTATCAGTTTTAAAAAGCGGTGTTAAAGCATCACACCGTTTCCTTTGTGCTTTCTTTATGCAAGCCTCTATTGCAGTATTTTTCAGCCACAGCTACTTTTAGAGGTGTAGACTTCTATTCCCCAAATTCCTTAGCTGGCTGGGGATTTTCAAGGGTTGAAGCCCACACCTCTTATAGTTGCTGAGGTTAAGAAATGCTGCTCTATTGGATCTAAGCATTTGGCGGTTCTCCTGTAAACATGCAATCTAAGCAGGGATGGGAGACCACCAGGAAATAAAAAATTCGAATAAGTGACCATGGCAGGACACTTCTATACTAGTGCCAAGAAAAGTGCATGATGGTACCTGTAGAGTCCCCTAGGAGTTCATTTTTATCATGATTACTGGATCCATAAGCCACAAACTCTGAGATGTAACCATGCTTTTTTAAGTGATCACTTTGAACCCTCACTTTCTCTCCCCCCATTATGAAAGATGCGGCCTAATAAGCGCATTGCTATAAACCTTGTTCTCACTCTAGGTGATAAAATATTCTATCATTAAAAAAAAAAAAAGTTTCAACTGCTAAAAATTAGACCTAACTCCAGCAAGCTATCAGCATCTTCTGTTTGCACAAACAACAGCAGAAACGAACACACTTTGTCTTTTCTTATTTTTTTTTTACTATGCATCTTAATAAATATTCTTTATTTTTAAATTTTGCACATCGCGCTTCCAACATATTACATCCAGAACATCTTTTTTAATTATTTTTTTTTTTGCAAATGGATGTCTACTTTGTAAAATCTTTATATGGAGCTCATTGTCATTTCTGTACAGAATTATAAGTACAACATTACTTTTTGCCACTAAGCTTTTTTTTTTTTTTCCTGTCTGATAAGTGTCACAGTTAAGAGAAACATTGAATAAAAAAGAGGTGGCTTTAAATTATGATGGTTTGGGGCTGGTCTCAGTTTTAGTCAAAAACTAGAGACCCGGAAACTGGAAATAGGATTGGGGGCGCGGGGAACCAAATAAAAAGGATTAAATTCCACCAGCCTCCTGGAGAGGAGAGGAGAGGAAGGAGAAAGAAAGAAAGAAAGAAAGAAAGAAAGAAAGAAAGAAAGAAAGAAAGAAAGAAAGAAAGAAAGAAAGAAAGAAAGAAAGGAGAGAGAGAGAGAGAGAGAGAGAGAGAGAAAGAAAAAGAAAGAGAAAGAAAGAAAGAAAAAGAAAGAAAGAAAGAAAGAAAGAAAGAAAGGAAGGAAGGAAGGAAGGAAGGAAGGAAGGAAAGGAGAGGAGGGACAAAGAAAAAGGAAAGAAAGAAAGAAAGAAAGAAAGAAAGAAAGAAAGAAAGAAAGAAAGAAAACCACCATCTTTTTTTTCTTTTTTAAAAAAAGTACGATTTTGTTTAGTTGCTAGAGAGACTGTTTTCCGAAGAGAGAAAACGCACAGTAGTCATTTTTGACAGTTTGACTGAAAGACAGAGCTAATTTTATTCGGTTTAGTTTGCTCCGGCTGTTGTCAACCAACCGCTGCACACGGGCCTCTTGTGATCGTTCAAGTGGCAATATCTGTTGAACTTCTCCTTCAGATGCTGTCGGTACCGTTCTCTATTGCTGTAGAAGGACTTGTTGTTGGCCATGAAGGACTGGATCTCATCTTGCGAGATGAATATTTCTTCATCGGAAGTGCATTCGGACTCATCCTGGAGAGCACAGGGAGAGAGGAGAAATGCAGGTCGTCCTTGACTTAACAACCATTCGTTTAGTGACTGTTCGAAGTTACAACGGCCCTGAACAGGGTAACTTATGACTATTTTTGACACAACCATTGCAGCGTCCCGAGGGTCACCTGATCAAAGCCCAGTTTTAATTTTTTGGTGGTGGTTGTTCGGTGAATGCAATCATTGTTAAATGAACTCTTTTTAACCAGTAGGTTACTTGTAGGATAGCCAGAGCATGTAGACTTATAGACTGCTTCACAGTGCTTTACAGCCCTCGCTAAGAGGTTTGCAGTCGGCGTATGCCCCCCACCCCAACAATTGGGGTCATTTTACCGACCTCAGAACGAGGGAAAGCTGAGTCAACCTTCAGACGGTCAGTATCGAACTCCTGACAGTGGGCCGAATTAGCCTGCAATAGCAATAGCACTTAGATTTATGTACCACTTCATAGTGTTTTTATAGCACTCTCTAAGCCAGTGATGGCAAACCTTTTAGAGACCGAGTGCCCAAAAACTGGACCCGCCCCTGCCCCGTCCCCACCCCGCCTGCCCGCAGGGCCACTCATCGCCTCCAGGGCCCGCCGCAGATCGCCCAGGCAGCCCCGCAGCGCCATGGCGGCCACACCCTCTGCCCACGCCCCGCAGCATCAACTGTATGCGTTGGGGCATGAGGGCAGAGTCTTGTCTATGCTGTCTGGCTGCCATGTCCTTGGTTGCGCTGCTCCGCGTGGGCCACGCTCAGGGGCAACTCTCCTCCAGGGGGGCTGCTGGTGAGGAGGGGGTCGCGGACGGAGGCAAGGCTGGGGCAACGGCATGTGTGCCCACAGAGAGGGCTCCGAGTGCCGCCTCTGGCACCCGTGCCATAGGTTCACCACCACTGCTCTAAGCGGTTTACAGAACCGGCATCTTGCCCCCAACAATATGGGTCCTCACTTTACCAACCTCGGAAGGATGGAAGGCTGAGTCAATCTTGAGATGGCCAGGATCGAACTGCTGGCAGTGGGCAGAGTTAGCCTGCAATACTGCATTCTAACCACTGCGCCATCAGGGCTCTTAGCAGAAATAAATTCTGGTTTCTGACCAAATTAAAAAAATGCTGGAAATTGTCGTCACACGACAGCAGGACATGGCAAATAGTCTTAAGCACCCAAGTAGGATCACATGACAGTGGGGGGGGTTGCCATTGGAACTTTGAGCCTGGATCCTAAGCTCTGGGAAGGTCTGTTGTAATTTCAAAAAGTCGCTAAGCAAGCCGAAGTTATGTCCTTTTTGAGTGACAGTTATCTTTGGGCTTAAATTGTTTATGATGTATTGTGTCCAGAGACACAAACTGCGAGGGATGTAGGAGGAGAGCCGTGTGAGTTTACGATGTCAAAAAAAAATAATTATCAGGAACCTGGTAAAATCTTTTCTGTATTAAAAGCCAGAAGATTTTGTGAGCTGCAGCTTACATTATCAGATGCCCTGAGCGGTTAGACTGATAAGAGCATTTGAATTGGGTGGCTGAATGAATAAATAAATGAATTAAAATAACAAATAAATAAATGACAAAGATGGTTAGGAGACTGGAGACTAAAACATACGAAGAACAGTTGCAGGAACTGGGTATATGTCTAGTCTAGTGAAAAAGGAGGACTAGGGATGACATGATAGCAGTGTTTCAGTATCTCAGGGGCTGCCATAAAGAAGAGGGAGTCAAGCTATTCTCCAAAGCGCCTGAAGGCAGGACAAGAAGCAACGGGTGGAAACTAACCAAGGAGAGAAGCAACCTAGAACTGAGGAGAAACTTCCTGACAGTTAGAACAATTAACCAGTGGAACAACCTGCCTCCAGAAGCTGTGAATGCTCAAACACTGGAAGTTTTTAAGAAGAGATTGGACAACCATTTGTCTGAAATGGTATAGGATTTCCTGGTCAAGCAAGGGGTTGGGTTAGAAGACTTCCAAGGTCCCTTCCAACTCTTTGTTATTCTATGTTCTATATTCTATGAGTAAGTGAATGAATACATGAATAAGTGAATAAATAAGTAAATAAATGAGTGAATAAATGGGGAAGTGAATAATTGAATAACAGAATAAGTGAATCAATGAATAAGTAAATAAATGAATGGATGGATGGGTAAGTGAATGAATAAATGACTGGACAGATAAGCAAATAAATGAATGACAAAATGGGTAAGCGAATGACTGACTGAATGACTGAATAAGTGAATAAGTAAATAAAAGAATGGGTAAATGAATAAATGAATAAATATGTGAATCAATGAATCTCTCACTTTGCCCAACCTTATCTGAGCTAATTATCAATTAATTCTCCCAATCACTAGCTCCAACATTTCTTGAAAGACAAGAGACTTAACCACCCGGGTCCATATTAACCAACGTTGCCTTCCCACTCCCCTCTAACAAAAGCAGACTACAAGGCCAACTCATCCTTGGAAGTCCCAAAGGTGCATTTTCAAGAGGCAACTGGACTTTCTTTGTTTTTCCTTGAAGACGTTTCGCTTCTCATCCAAGAAGCTTCTTCAGCTCTGACTGGATGGTGGGGAAGGGAAGGATTTATACTCCTTGCAGACAGCCGATCATTTGCATCCTTTTAGAGAGTCATTGAGGCCCCCTGGAGGCTTATCTGTGTTCTCAGGGTCAACTGAGTGGTGCAAATGGGTGTGGAGCCTTCTTGAGACTGTTGAAAGGACCCGTGTTGTAAACTGGAGATAGATGATGTCCTATCCCACCCCCTCTGTTGAGGGAGGGCTGTTCAATTTGGACACAGATGGCCACTTTGACCCCTCTTTAAAACCAGCGGTTGTCTCTGTCCAGAGTGCGGACACAGATAAACTTCCAAGTGGCCTCAACGACTCTCCAAAACAGGGGTCTTCAAACTTGGCCCTTTTATGACTTGAGGAATTCAACACCCAGAATTCCTCAGTCAGTATGCCTGGCTGAGGAATTCTGGGAGTTGAAGTCCACAAGTCATAAAAGGGCCAGGTTTGAAGACCTCTGCTCTAAAAGGAATGCAAACGACCAGCTGTCTGCAAGGAGTATAAATCTTTCCATTCCCCGCCACTCAGTCAGAACTGAAGAAGCTTACTTGGACGAGAAGCGAAACGTCTTCAAGGAAAAACAAAAAAAACCCCAGTTGCCTCTCGAAAAAGCAGCTTTGGGACAACCGCGACCCGGATGACTGAGACTCTCCACAGATGCTCCTCCTTGTAACTTACCAGGAGTTCCACCAAGCTCTTCGTGCCCTTCCCCGATTCGGGAGCAGGAGCTGCCTCTGAAGATTCCTCACACAACAAGGCTGTTTTCCTGTGCTCCAGCCAAGGTACCGTAGGCGGCCCAGCTTTTTCTGCGCGACAACAGATTTCGGCATGGGGGTTTTTGGTCTTCTCTCGGTGGAAGTCTGAGTGCGTGGCGGTCCCTGGACCCTCTCGGTTACTTGTCTCCACCAGGCAGCTGCTCAGCTTTTGGATCTGGAGAACAGAAACAGCACATCAGAGGAAGGGGGAAAGTGCAGCCATCTGCCAAGTAGTCCCGGACTTAACAACAGTTTGTTTAGGGCGGGGATCTTCAAACCTGGCCCTTTTATGACTTGTGGACTTCAACTCCCAGAATTCCTCAGCCAGCGTGAGACCCCTGGTTTAGTGATTGTTCGAAGTTACAACGGCACTGAAAAAAAGGGACTTATGATCGTTTTTCACGTTTATGACCATCCCGGCATCCCCATGGTGATCAAAATTCAGACGCTTGGCAACCGACTCATATTTATGACGGGCTGCAGTGTCCCGGGGGTCACGTGATCCTCTTTTGCGACCTTCTGATCAGCCAACTCAATGGGGGAAGCCAGATTCACTTAACAACCGTGATACTAACTGAACAACTGCAGTGGTTCACTTAACAACTGGGGCAAGAAAGGTCGCAAAATGGGGCAATATTAACAAACGTCTTCATTCAGCAACGTAATTTTTGAGCTCAACGGCGGTTGTAAGACGAGGACTACCTCTATTCCCTGACCCCTCCTGAGTCAAACCTAACTGAAAAATTGTCAAAGATTTGGGGGGGGGGGAAAATCCACTCTTATGTTTTCTAACCTTAGAAACTTTGAGACCCGTGGACTTCAACCCCCAGAATTCCCAGTCAGCATGCCCGTCGCTGAACTTTCTGGGAGTTGAAGTCCACAGATCTTGGGATTACTGCTCGATGTTACAGTGTATGACCATAACTGAGCCTGGAACTATGAATGTAAGCCACGGCAGTCATTAAGCAGGTCACTGCGACTGCACCTGACTTACCTTTCTTGCACTGGTCATTAAGAGAAACGCCACAATAAATTAAGCACATGCTGCAGTTGTTCTAAGTCAGTAATGGCGAACCTTTTAGAGACCGAGTGCCCAAACTGCAACCCAAAACCCACATATGCATCGTCGGGTGCCGGGTGGGTGTGGCCCATTGGCTGGGTGTGGCCCATTGGGTGGGCGTGGCAGTGGTGGTAACGGCAGACTGGGTGGGACTAAAACGTTCAATCAATCAATTCCAACTTTCAAGATCTTTTTTTTCCCGCGAGAAGTTGAAATTGACTGAACCTTTTTTTTTTTTTTGGCACACGGCGGCGGAGGCCTAAAGCGAAAAGGTTTTATAAAACCCAGCTGAAGGCCTAGGACTGGGGCGACGGCGCGCGTGCCCACAGAGAGGGCTCTGAGTGCCGCCTCTGGCACCCGTGCCATAGGTTCGCCACCACTGTTCTAAGTGAACTTGTTTTCACCAATGGGTGCGGGTTTTTTGGCAAAATATGGCAAAAAACCCCACTGGAAATTGCAGTTGCATGACTGCGGGATGCTGCAAATGGGTCATACAAGTGAGCTAATTGCCCAAAATGCAATCATGTGATCATTTTGTGTGTGCGTGTGTTGTGTGCAGGTGTGTGTGTGCGCGTGTGTAATAACTTTGAAAATGGGTCCTAAGTAGCTTTTGGGGAGTTCGTTGTAACTTTGAATAGTTGCTAAACAACCGGTAGTAAGTCAAGAACTGCCTACAATAGTGTCAGGGGTGAAGGATCGGGGCTACACGTTAAATACCAGTTAAGCTGATTTATTGCTCCTGCCTGTACATAAGAATCTAGTCAACTAACGATCAGCAGTAGCTAGAGAAGAGTTAACAGAATGAAAAGGGGCTGGATTTAAACCACTTGTGGGAACATAAAAATTCTAGGCTGATTCCTCCCTTGACTCCACCTCCAGGCTCTGCCTCTCCGAATAACAGAGTTGGAAGGGACCTTGGAGGTCTTCTAGTCCAACCCCCTGCTCAGGCAGGAAACCCTATACCATTTCAGACAAATGGTTGTCCACTCTTTTCTCAAAAATCCCCAGTGTGTTGGAGCACCTTCTGGAGGCAACTCGTTCCACTGATTAATTGTCCTAACTGCCAGGAAGTTTCTCCTTAATTCTAGGTCGATTCCCTCCTTGATTAGTTTCCATTCATTGCTTCTTATTCTGCTTTCAGGTGCTTTGGAGAATAGATTGCCACACACACACACACACCTCTTCTCTGTGACAGCTCCTCAAATACTGGAACACTGCTATTAGTCCTTCTTTTCACTAGACTACTTACCCAATTCCTGCAACTGTTCCTCATGTGTTTTGCCTCCAGTAGCCTAATCATCTTTGCTGCTTTTCTCCGGACTCTTTCCAAAGACTCAACCTCTTTTTTATAATATGGTGACCAGGACTGGATGCAGTATTCCAAGTGTGGCCTTACCAAAGCATTGTAAGGTGGTATTAACGCTTCAGGTGATCTTGATTCCATCCCTCTGTTAATGCAGCCCAGGACTGTGTTGGCTTTTTTGGCAGCTGCAGCACACGGCTGGCTCATATTTAAATGATTGTCCACTAGGACAATCCTTGTCCTACAAACTGACCCCAATCAACTTATCATCTTTTATCAAATACCCAGTTGACCCTTAGCAATTTATTGTCCCCCTTTTGACGTCCAATCACTTATTGACCCCCTGGACATTCCTACTCAGCTTTGGCGGTTGATACTGACCACTTTGGGAAACCCTGGTTTAGACCACCCTCTCTTAGACCACTGTCCAAGAGAGGGTGGTCTAAACCAGGGTTTCCCACCCTCTCTTAGACCACTGTCCAAGAGAGCTAGGATTGCTCTGTTTTGTGGTGCTGTGTTGAAATCCACTTGGCAGTTTTGCAAGTCTCCTTCCTGGTGTTGTTTTTTTTTAACCTTACTCTCAAGAGCAGGGGTGTCAAACTCAATTTCATTGAGGGCCGCATCAGCATTGCGGTTGCCCTCAGGGGGGCCGGGTGGGTGTGGCCAGGGTGGGTGCAGCCTACTGGGTGGGCGTGGATGGAGTGGGTGTGGCCAACTTGGTGGGCGTGGCTAGCTCTACATCGTTTGCGTCAAGGGTGCCTGTGGGGGCCTGGGCAGGAGTGGGACAGATCTGAGGGTCTCTGGCAGAAGCGGGTGGGACCGTGGCAAGTGCCAAGGCATGGTCCACTGGAGGAGCCTCACTGCCTGCCGAAACCCTCCGCTGGAGCCGATCAAGCCAGATATGTGAAGTAGGTGAGGGCCATTTGCTGGCCACTTCCAGGTGATGGTGCATTTCTTCATTCCTCCCCAGCATGCACCCAGGGGGCGGGGGCAACACAGCAGGGGCTGGTTCCTCGCTGGTTCCAGATGGCCTTGTGGAGCTAAGACTGAATATGTTTCAGTATAGATGGCTACCACAAAATTGTACATTGGCTCCCGGCCGGCCTGGGCCAGGGCCAAGGCAGCGGGGGCCGTTCCCTCACTGTTTCCAGGATGTCTTCGCGGGCCACATGAAACCACTTCGCGGGCTGCATCCGGCCCCCGGGCCTTGTGTTTGACATGTCTGCTCAAGAGCATTAAGAATTTGTTTGCATTTCCCCAGGTAGGGCTGGTTGAACTGTCTGTTGTTGTTCAGGAGATGAGGACAACAAGGACTGCTATATATTTGGTTAGATCCCTTTCAGTCTCTCTGACGTTTGTCTACCTGCCCCCATTTTCCAATTTGCTCAAACCCTGGAAGGGTGCCATTTGTCTACTTAAGATTTATTTATATGGTCGCACAATTCAAAATGTGACTTTAGTTGAGAATAAAAAAGAATCATCAAATCAAATGACCAAAAAAAAAAAAAAAAAGCAAACAAATACATACCATTCAAACCAACAGACAATAATCAGAACTCAAACTCCTAATCAAATCCGAATAATCAATCAGAAATCAGAACTAATCAAATCAGAATAATCAATTAAAAATCAGAACTAACCAGAATTAAACAAATCAAATCAGAACTAATCAAATCAGAATAATCAATCAGAAATCACATCAGTCAGAAATCAGGATCAATCAGAAATCAGAACTAATCAAACCAGAATAATCAATCAGAAATCAGAACTAATTGATCAAAAAATCACAACTAATCAGTCAGAATTAAAATGTTCTGCAACTCATCAACTGGGTATTCACTCATCCTGATGCATGGACTGGGGGACATCCAAATCTTGTTTGCTTTTCTTGGGGAGGGGCACTGTCTTTACAAAGGGAGGGGTCTACCCCTCCTGGGTCCCACCCAATGGCACAGTTTTGGGGAAAGGACCCAGAGTCTTCCCTCCCTATTGGGGTGTGTGAGAGATGCATGCCCCCCCCATGAGGCTTTCCCTCGGAACTGAATTCCCTTGGAGCAGCATCTGGGCTCTGCCTCTTTAGGAAAGCTTTTAAAACTTGGCTCTTCCAGCTGGGCCAGGGCCAGGGCCATTAGCAAACCCGATAACTGTTTGATCATTTCATTTTTATATTCTCCAAGGCCTTATTATTACATTTATCCCTTCCCATTGCATTTGGGCTTTACGAGACATTTTAAAACCTGCAGCTGCTTTAACAAGAGGCGGCCTTCTAAAATGAATTGAACCGACCAATAAAATTGCAAAGGGGATGGTGATGATGATGATGATAATAACAACAATAAAGTTGGAAGGGACCTTGGAGGTCATCTAGTCCAACCCCCTGCTCAGGCAGGAAACCTTATACCAGGGGTAGGCAACCTTGGCTCTTTTATGACTCGTGGACTTCGACTCCCAGAATTCCTGAGCCAGCATGTAAAAAAAGATGTTGAGACTCTAGAAAGAGCGCAGAGAAGAGCGACAAAGATGATCAAGGGGACTGAAGGCTAAAACATATAAGGAACAGCTGCAGGAATTGGGTATGTCTAGTTTAATGAAGAGAAGGACTAGGGCAGTGGTGGCGGACCTATAGCACGGGTGCCAGAGGCGGCACTCGGAGCCCTGTCTGTGGGCACACATGCTGTTGCCCCAGCCTTGCCTCCGTCCGCGACCCCCTCCTCTCCAGCAGCCCCCCTGAAGGAGAGTTGCCCCCCCCACAGAGCAGCGCAACCAAGGATATGGCAGCCAGGCAGTGTAGACAAGACTCTGCCCTCACACCCCATCGCGCGCAGTTGATGCTGCGGGGCGCAGGCAGAGGGCGAGGCCGCCATGGTGCTGCTGGGCTGCCTGGGCGATCTGCGGCGGGCCCTGGAGGCGGTGAGTGGCCCTGTGGGCCGGGAGGGTGGGGGCGGGACAGGGGGTGGAGCAGGGGCGGGTCCAGTTTTTGGCCACTCGGTCTCTAAAAGGTTCCCCATCACTGGAGTAGGGGTAGGTAATATGATAGCAGTGTTCCAGTATCTCACGGGCTGCCCCAAAGAAGAGGGAGTCAAGCTATTCTCCAAGGCGCCTGAAGGCAGGACGAGAAGCAACGGATGGAAACTCATCAAGGAGAGAAGCAACCTAGAACTAAGGAGAAACTTCCTGACAGTTAGAACAATTAACCAGTGGAACAACCTGGCTCCAGAAGTGGTGAATGCACCAACACTGGAAGTTTTTAAGAAGAAACTGGACAGCCATTTGTCCGAAATGGTATAGGGTTTCCTGCCTGAGCAGGTGGGTCAGACTAGATGACCTCCAAGGTCCCTTCCAACTTTATGATGATGATGATAACTTGCCAAGACTGAGAAACATTGTCTTGTTTGGTTTGGTTTGATTAAAAACTGCTTCCATTCATTTCCCCTGAGATCTAAACACAAAGGAGACATTCCTCTCATCCATTTCTCCACACCTCTAACCAACTGCCACTTTATTCATAAACGCCCGAGTATTAATTTATGGCTAATCCGGTTCCTCATTAACCGGCTTCATTGTCTCCTTTTTTTTTTTAAACAAATTAAAAAAAAATCACCCTAACGAAGTTGGACAGCTTTTCTCCAACAACGATGCTGAACTCGCAGCCGTGTCACCTACTGCCCTCGCGCTGGTTAAGGGGCCGTGGGAATGACATGTGAGGGGAGGAAAGAGGTCGGGGAGGAGAGGGGGGGGGAGAAAGCTGGCCGACAAAAACCCTGACCCCGAAATGCCCCCCCCACGCTTACGTGCTCAGCTTCGCACTTCTTGTTTTTCTTCTTCTTCTTCTTGTTTTTGCCTTTCGTGGTAGCGTCTTCCGAATTCGCCCAGCATTCCACGCAACTGTCCCCATCCTCTTCTTTGTCTTCGCAACGGTGAATGCACGCATCTTCCCCTGTGAGAAAGAAAGAGAGACTGGAGTGGAGTGGGGAGGAGACACCGCCCTCCCCCCCCAAGAAGCCATGCCTTCCATCCAAATCGTGCTCCGATGTCGGAGAGCAAACCTCTGCCGTCGGGATCAAGCAGGGAATTAGCCTGGACTCATTATGTAGACACAAGAGGGCAAAGGTCTGACCTCCCCTGAGTGGCCTTGGAGCCTTATCTACTTGTCTACGGAGATGCTCGGTTCTTCCAGGTCAGGGTTGTCCCAAAGGTGCTTTTTCGGGAGGCAACTGGACTTGATCTTGTCATGGCTAAGACAGGAACTAGTCTCCTAGTGATTGGCCCAAAGGCACCCAGCTGGCTTTCACGCTAGCTAAGGCAGGATTCGAATTCACCACCTCCTGGTGATTGGCCCAAAGGCACTCACCCGCCTTTCGTGCTAAAGCGGGACTAGAAATTACTGTCTCCTTATGATTGGCCCAAAGTCACTGAACTGTCTTTCATGCTAAACCAGACTAGAACTCACCGTCTCCTGGTGACTGGCCCAAAGTTTCCCAGCCGGCTTTCTTGCTAAGACAGAACTACAACTCACCGTCGCCTGGTGACTGGCCCAAAGTCACCCAGTTGGCTTTCATGGCTAAGGCAGCACTAGAATTCACAGTCTCCTAGTGATTGGCCCAAGGTCAGCCAGCTGGCTTTCATGGCTAAGGCAGGACTAGAACTCAGCGTCTCTTGGTGACTGGCCCAAAGTCACCCTGCTGGCTTCCGTGCTAAGGCAGGATTCGAATTCACCACCTCCTGGTGACTGGCCCAAAGTCACCCACCCACCCACCTCTCATGTTAAGCGGGACTAAAATTCACTGTCTCCTTGTGATTGGCCCTTTCAGGCTAAGCTAGACTAGAACTCAATTCTGGCGATTCCACTGAAACACACAACTGTGCCAGACTAAATAGGCCAAGAATGGGGAGTACGGACGGATCAATCCACTAGATCAGGGGTAGTCAACCTTGGCTCTTTTATGGCTCGTGGACTTCAATTCCCAGAATTCCTGAGCCAGCTTAGCTGGCTCAGGAATTCTGGGAGTTGAAGTCCACGAGTCATAAAAGAGCCAAGGTTGACTACCCCTGCACTAGATTAATACATCATCTGCCTCACGGCCACCTTTAGGGGTTAAGCACTTCCTCAAAACTTTTCTTTTTCTGACCTGCCTTTTAAGTCAGTCTTGACTTTTGGAAGAGACTCCCAAAGGGGGGGGAGGGGGAGGAACCGGAAAAAAGGAGAAGCCCCACAAACCCTTTTAACGGTATTCCTACCATTTTCATCGTGGTTGCAAATCCCTTCGGTGCAAGCGATGTCCGAACCCTCCCGTGAACCAGTTTCGCTGCCTTCCATGCTGGAAGAATAGCCACAATCGCTGCCATTACAGTGAGCAGATAAACCTGGAAGAGATGTAGGCACCGTTCGCACGAATGGCCAAAGACACAGGCCGGCCTTGTAAGATACCCCCACCAGATGGGAATCCACTCATCTCTGTAACACGGAGTTCCCCAATGTTTCCAGCTTTGCGGAACAGTCGGGGGGGGGGGAAGGGGAGAAGGGATGGTTCTACGCAAGCGGCCGGCAAGCGGGCACGCGCAGTTCCATTTGCGTGAGCGGCGTATACACGCACCTGCTGCTCACTTAAACGGAGTGCGCACATTTGCCCGCTGCTCGTGCAAGAGAAGATTTGTGTGTGCGCACTCTCCAGCCCTTTCTGCGGCCCGCTTGCAAACCCCTCACGGCCCACTAGTGGTCCAGGGCCCTGGGGCCCCCTGCTCTAACATATACAATTTTAAATTTTATAATAAAGTGGCAAGAAAATGTCACAAGGTAGCCCTGTTGTTGAAAGATCTATTTTGGCCACCACTTTGTCTGTGTGTATAATATGGATGTACATTTATTTTGATTTCTTTATCTGTATCGTGCCTTGTATTATTTTTAGAATTAACTCAAGGTGGCAAAGTCACCCAGCCATCTTTCATGATTAAGGTGGGACTAGAACTCACAGTCTCCTGGTGATTGGCTCAAAATCACCCAACCAGCTTTCATGTCTAAGGTGGGACTAGAACTCACAATTTTGTGATTGGCCCCGAGTTACTCAGCTGACTTTCATGGCAGGATTAGAACTCTTAGTTTCCTGGTTTTTAGCCTGGTGCCATAACCACTAGACCAAACTGTGTGTGTGTGTGTGTGTCCAGTAGTGGCCAAAATTGTAGAAACCTTTTGGGAAAATTGTACAGTAGAAATGCCACCTTTGGTTAAGTTTCCACCAATTTTTCTTCTTAATTTCTTTATAACTGTAGCCTTGTTCACTTAATAATACTATTTTACATCGTTTTCTGGGCAATCAGTCAACTCTTTGCACCATGACTTTAATTTTATTACGTTTTATAAGCTCACTCAATGAAAGAACACAAAAAAACCCAACCGACTTGATAGCAATCACATCACACACTGACAAATGTCCTCCTCTCGGCTTCAATACATGACATCCATCACTGAATCCTACTCTGATCTGATTGGCTCATTGCCAAAACAAGATGACACCAGATTGGCTCTATAAACACTCATGCTCATTGGCTACAATCAGATGAAGGAAAGCTACCTGAGATCAACCTAAGCAAGTTGTGCTTCCTTTTTTCTGGTTATTTGGCTATAACTTTTCATAGAATACAGTACAGATAATTGAACAAACTTTGTTGTGTTACATTCTTGATTAAATTATCTTTCCATGGATATATAATTTTATGGTACTACTCCAAAAAAAGTGTTATTAGCCATCGAACCTCAAAAATACACTTTTCCCAAAAGGTTTTCACAATTTTGGCCACTACTGTAGAATGGTATGTCAAGTGTACAGGAGTACCACTGGCAAAAAAGCCTGCTGGATTTGGTTTGAATCTATTGCATGTTCAGTTAAACACACAAGTAAAATACTCATGGCCCAAAAAGTCTGTATTGGCTTGAATTCAACAGAATCTGAAGGACCACAGGTTCCATAATCCTGCTTTATCATAATAGCAGCATGGCTAGATTATAACCCCCCCCCCCCCCCCGGTACGTTCAGAGATTTTGTTCTCCCGTGGCAGAGCCACAAGGAACAAAAAAAGCTTTCTTTTCCGTTTCTGATTCACTGCAGCTTGCGTCAGCCAAGCACAATGCTTGGACAATCCAAGTTTTTTATTACCAAAAAAAAACGACGACGACAACAACCCCACACCAAAAATACCCAAGCTTAAGACTGTTCCAAACAACCACAGTCAACTTGAATCACAGCTGAGAATTTAGCCACAAAACTGAACTGCGGTGAACTGAAATTAAAAACAAAACCTCACCCTCCCGGCAGCTGTGAAACGGGAACGAGTAAAAAGCCACAAGTGTTATTATTTTTTTTTTGCCTTTTATTTATTGTTCTTGACTGACAGAGGTACTTCTTTCTTGAGAACACTTCAGATCAGGGGTCTTCAAACTTGGCCCTTTTATGACTTGTGGACTTCAACTCCCAGAATTCCTCAGCCAGGCACGCGTGCCTGGCTGAGGAATTCTGGGAGTTGAAGTCCACAAGTCCTAAAAGGGCCAAGTTTGAAAACCCCTGCTTAAGATATAAAAATGCCACAAACATGAAATATAATGTTATGCAGGTGGTCCTCGCTTAATGACCAGCTGCTTCCCTTGTCAGTGTTGGTGGGAGTGGTCTTGGTGGTTCCTTAATTAGGCTGTTGTTTACCACTTGATTGCTTGTCTGAGTTGGTAGTTCCTCTGTATATAAACAGAGTGCAACCCCCACTTCCTTCTAGCACTGATGATGTTACCTAGTTGGGTCCTGAAACGTCTGCAAGAAAACCACCAAGCTCAGAGAGCACCAAGGATCCCACAGTCCTTTCTGCTCCTCCTCTTCCTGTCTGCAACCCACACTCCCTTCTAGCACTGATGATGTTACCTAGTTGGGTCCCGAAATGTCTGCAAGAAAACCACCAAGCTCAGAGAGCACCAAGGATCCCACAGTCCTTTCTGCTCCTCCTCTTCCTGTCTGCAACCCCCACTCCCTTCTAGCACTGATGATGTTACCTAGTTGGGAAATGAAATGTCTGCAACAAAGCAACCAGGTTAAGAGACCACCATAGTAAACGATACCCCAATCAAGGAACGACCAACTCAAACTATCATTAAACAACAGCTTCATCTAGGAAGCAGCAAGAACACACCCACCAACATTGACAGGGCAAGCCATTTTATGCATAAACAGTGCAAACCCCTCTCCCATCTAGCACGGATGATGTTACCTAGTTGGGTCATGAAATGTCTGCACACACACACATACACAAAAAAAAAACCAAGCTCAGAAGCACCAAGGACCCCACATCAACCAATCAATTTGGTTATTTAACCAGAACTTAACCCCCGCCCCCACCCCACCCCCAAGGTGACTTGACCTACCTTTCTTTATTTTAGGTGAACCCGGTAAAGCGCCACCAGTGGGACAAGTGCAAGAAGCATTTGCGTTGGTCACAATGACCTCGACGCAGCTGCTCCGCTCTTCCGTGTTGCCGCAGGCCGTGCAGCCGCTTTCCAAGAAATTTTCCTTCAAAGAGATAGGAAGGAATGTCAACGCCACGCCCGGCTCGTGTGTGCAAGCAGGCAGCGACTTGCGTGCCCAGGAGATCCAGCTGCTGCAAATGAGGGATCATGCCACTTGAGGATGTTCCTTAGAGCAGGGGTCTTCAAACTTGGCCCTTTTATGACTTGTGGACTTCAACTCCCAGAATTCCTCAGCCAGGCATGCGTGCCTGGCTGAGGAATTCTGGGAGTTGAAGTCCACAAGTCATAAAAGGGCCAAGTTTGAAGACCCCTGCCTTAGAGCATCCTCGGGAAAACCGGGAAATGATGGGACTGTGTAGAAGAGCTGCCAACAGCTACTGGTGGTCCCCAACTTATGACCGGTCCTTTAACGACCATCCAGAGTGACAACGGACCCACCAAAATACCTGCGACCCATTTTCAAAGTTATGGCTGCGCACACAAACCAGCGGTCATATGATTACATTTGGGGCACCTGGCAACTGATTGGCGATGGAGATTCAGGTCAGGGTTGTCCCAAAGATGCTTTTCCAGGAGGCAACTGGACTTTCTGGTTTTACCTTTGAAGATGTTTCGCTTCTCATCCAAGAAGCTTCTTCCGCTCTGACTGGGATGGTGGGGAATGGAAGGATTTATACTCCTTGCAGACAGCCGGTCATTTGCATCCTTTTAAGAGAGTCATTGAGGCCACTTGGAGGTTTGTCTGTGTCCTTATCTGAGTAGTGCAAATGGGTGGGGAGCCTTCCTGGAACTGCTGAAAGGACCATGTTGTATACTGGAGATAGATGTTGTCGTATCCCTCCCCCTCTGTTGACATAGATGGCCTCTTTGACCCTCTCTTTCAAACCAGTGGTCCTCTCTGTCCAGAATGTGGACACAGACAAAGCTCCAAGTGGCCTCAAGGACTCTCTAAAAGAAGGCAAATGACCAGCTGTCTGAAAAGAATATAAATCTTTCCATTCCCCACCATCCAGTCAGAGCTGAAGAAGCTTCTTGGATGAGAAGCGAAATGTCTTCAATCTTTGGCTAATCTAAAGAAAAGAAGAAATAGGGGAGACGTGATAGCAGTATTCCAGTATCTGAGGGGCTGCCACAAGGCAGAGGGGGTCAAGTTGTTCACCAAAGCACCAGAGAGAAGGACGAGAAACAATGGTTGGAAACTGATCAAGGAGAGAAGCAACCTGGAATGAAGGAGACACTTCCTGACAGTGAGGACAATCAATCAGTGGAACAGCTTGCCTCCAGAAGTTGTAGGTGCTCCATCACTGGAGGTTTTTAAGAAGAGACTAGACAGTCACTTGTCTGAGACGGTATGGGTTCTCCTGCTTGGGCAGGGGGCTGGACTAGGAGACCTCCAAGGTCCCTTCCAGCTCTATTCTATTCAATTCAGGAGAAAACAAGCTGAGGAAGTCCGCCTCTCCCAGAACTTCAAAACCAGGCAGGAGAGACTGGACTAGACAACCTCCAAGGTCCCTTCCAGCTCTATTCTGATTCCGGATCCATGGAGCAGGGGCTCAGCATCTCTCACCTTTTCTTGGCTCCGCATGTCCTTCTCCTCCATCACTTGCAAAGGAGCAGGGATCTCGCAGACGCATTTATTTTTCCTCCGATTCTTCCGTTTCTGGCGCTTCTTCTCCTGCTTGAGTTCCCGCACCCTCTCCTCTTCGGAAAACTCTTCACACAGCTGCTCCAGCCGGCTGATGCCTTGCACCCGCTCCACTGCCATCTGCGGAGAAAGACAGCGATCAGCGGGGCAGCATAAAGGTGGCCTTTTGCTCCTCCCCCCCCCCATTTTAAACATTTTATTGGATCATAGAATAAAACACAAAAGCAAATAGTAAGATATAGTGGGGAAAAGGGAAAGGAAAGTGAGGGGGAGAAGGAAAAAAGAAAAGGCATTGATTTCCAACTTCCTCTGTTGCAGTAGAATAGAGCAGGAGTCAACCGGGCCGCATAAACAAGCAAAGCCCCATCCACGGGATGCAGGCAGCACACAAAACCACACTCCCTCCAGTCCAAGGGTAGGCAACCTCGGCTCTTTTATGACTCTTGGACTTCAACTCCCAGAATTCCTGAGCCAGCATGGCTCAGCATGGAAACCTCTCCCTTTCTCCTCAGCATGGCTGGCTCAGGAACTCTGGGAATTGAAGTCCACCAGTCATAAAAGAGCCAAGGTTGCCTACCCCTGCTCCAGTCCATGGAAAAACCTCTCTCCGCGTAACCGGTCCCTGGTGCCCAAAAGGTTGGGGACCTCTGGTTCAATAGAGCAATAACATCGAACCTCAACTTTTTACTTTTCCACAATAGTATAAAACTAGCCATTTCTATAACGACAAATCAATCTAATCAGTAAAACCCAAAATCAAAGTTTCCTTTTTTTCATCTCGAAGTCCAGAAGCAGTCTTCAAGCAGAAACAAAAGTACTTATATTTTTCCCTTTTAATCAAAACGGTCAATTTAGCCATCTCTGACAACTCCATCAGCTTCTGTAGCCCTTCGTCCACGGTGGGAATCAAAATGTTCTTCCATTTTTGTGCATACAATATAGTCTTGCTGCCATCAATATATATGTAAGATCAAAGTTCCAATTCCCCCCCCCAAAGTCTTTCTCAATTATGCCTTTTGCTCCTTCCCTAAAACCATTATCCCTACATTGGGACCCTGCATCCTATTCCTATTGTATCCAGTTTTGGTCGCCGTGATATAAAAAAAGATGTTGAGACTCTGAAAGAGTGAAAGACTTTAGAAAGAGTGCAGAGAAGAGCAACAAAGATGATTAAGGGACTGAAGGCTAAAACATACGACGGTTGCAGGAATTGGGTATGTCTAGTCCAGGAGTAGGCAACCTTGGCTCTTTTATGACTCGTGGACTTCAACTCCCAGAATTCCTGAGGCAGCCATGCTGAGGAGAAATGGAGAGGTTTCCATGCTGAGCCATGCTGGCTCAGGAATTCTGGGAGTTGAAGTCCCCGAGTCATAAAAGAGCCAAGGTTGCCTACTCCTGGTCTCGTCTAACAAAGAGAAGGCTTAGGGGGTGACATGATAGCAGAATTCCAATATCTCAGGGGCTGCCCCAAAGAAGAGGGAGTCAAAGCTATTCTCCAAGGCGCCTGAAGGCAGGACAAGAAGCAACAGATGGAAACTAATCAAGGAGAGAAGCAACCTAAAACTAAGGAGAAACTTCCTGACAATTAGAACAATTAACCAGTGAAACAGCTTGCCACTAGAGGTTGTAGGTGTTCCAACCCTGGAGGATATGAAGAAGAGATTGGGCAACCATTTGTTTGCAATGCTATAGTGCAGTGTTTCAACAAAAAAAACAACAGGAGGAGTCTGGTAGCATCTTTTCTGATTAACACATTTTATTAAAAGGCTACAGCTCATAAAAGCTGATGCCTTTGAATAACAATTGTAAGGTTAGTGGAAAAAGGGCTACCAGAGCCCTGATTTTTGGAACTATAATGTGGGGTACTTGATGCTCTCTGAGCTTGGCTGTTTGCTCTCTCCCCACTCCCTTCTAACACTGATGATGTTACCTAGCTGGGTAACGAAATGTCTGCAAGAAAACGACCAAGCTCAGAGAGCGCCAAGGGCTCCACAGTTCATTCCTGAGCCACAAATATTCTCTTCTATTGATAACAAGATTCTTTAAGGGAGAAAGCAGGGATTTTGCAGCCCAGAGAAGCCGATTTCTATTCCCAGGGATCGCCAAGAAAGGTCACGAAGAAACTTCCTGTTTCTTTCCCTCCAGGTAAGCAAGGAAACAGAGAGGCTACCTCAAAGCTTTTGCGCAAAGCATCGACTCCCAGATAGAAAAGCATCTGCCACGTCTGTTCCTCGGCCCGCAGCTTCTGCCAGATGCGGTGCAGCCGTTCATAAAGGTGGATGCCCAAGCAGGTGAGAACCTCTTCTTGGGCAATGTCTATTGTCTTCGCGTGTCTTTCTCGTCTCCTGGGGGAAACAAAAAAAAAAACGTGGCAAGAGGGTCCTAAGGCGGGCAATTCTCCTTTTGTAACTCAAAAATTATTTTTAGGAGTTTTCAGCACTGGCTTTTCGTAATCTGTGTGTCCAGGTAGTCCTTGACTCGGGACCGTTCGTTTAATGACAGTTCGAACTTACGACGGCCTCAAAAAACAACAACAACCAACTTACGGCCCGTCCTCAAGGTTATGACCATCGCCCCTGAAGTCACATGATTGCAATTTGGGTGGCAACGGACTCACATTTACGACTGGACGAACTGTGTCGTGGTCCCACGATCGCGATTTGCCACCTTCCCGGCCGCAAAATAAACTGGGGAAGCCGGATTTGATTAAGGACTATGTGATTCCCTGAATGACCACAGGATTTGTCTGCTTGCTTGCTTGCTTGTTTGTTTATTTTATTCGTTTAATGTTTGGGATAAAAATAGTTATAAAATCGGATCCAATCGTGTGATGACTCGCTTAATAATTGCATCGCTCAGGGACCAAAATTCCACCCATCATCCGAGCCACACCCTTTTTGTGGATCTGTGCAGTGCTGATGTATGGATATGAGGGATGGGCTGTGGATCGTGATCTTGGGCCTGCCAACTTGTCCCTCTCAATATCCCTTTCTGAATGCCACTGGAGAGAAGTGATCTCCAACGTGGCTGTTTAATTTCCGATGACAATTCATTTCTAATTGGCGAGTTTGTATCCCTTTAGAGCAGTGTTTCCCAACCTCGGCCATTTCTTCTTGGTGGACTTCAACTCCCAGAATTCCACTGACCGCACGGCCATTGCGAAGAATTCTGGCACCTGAAGTCATAAATGTTAAAAATGGTCCTAAACAGTGGTGGGATTCAGCCAGTTCGCACCACTTCGACAGAACTGGTAGCTAATTTTTTGTTGCCCAGGCCTAGAATGGACTTCCGGAAATGGCATCCACAGAGAGAACCAGTTGTTCACATATCTGAATCCCACCACTGGTCCTAAATGACTTTTTCTCAGTGCTGTTGTAACTCCAATCACTAAACTATTGACTGTATGTCGAGGACTACCTGGGTACCACAAGGGAGAGACAGAACAAGCAATCCATGAAGCAGTTGGTGCAAATAGCTTAAGCCGATTTGGAAAGCCCAAATTACTTTTCAAAAGGAATCCATGCAAAATATATATATATATATTCATTTACCCAACTCCTTGAAAACATCTCAAAAACCATGCTGGTAAAGGTGGTGTTTTTTGGGGGGGGCGGGGGGGAGATTGAACCTTCTTTTTCACTTTTAAATGGAAAAAAACAGACAGCCAACTTGCTTTAATAAACACATTAGTGACACCCCTCTGTGGGTTTGCTTATTTAGGAGAGCACATCTTTCTCCTTCTGTCCTGGCCACTTTTTTACAGAGGCACCCTGGAGAGCGTCTTAACAAACTGCATCACTGTCTGGTTTGGTGGCAGCAGAGCCTCAGATAGAAGGTCCATACAGAGAGTGGTAAGGACAGCCGAGAAGATCGTTAAGAAGCTCGCTTCCTGGTATTAGGGATGCTGCTTATAAGTGCTTATATGTGCTTAGAGCTCAGAGCATTGTTAAGAGGCCCCACATACCCACTTCACGGATTGTTCCTGTGGAAATGGGTCATGGCAACACCATCAGAAGCATTTTGAAGTCAAAATGGCTTGCTGCCAAGTTGTAGGATAGTTCAGTGGTTGAGTTAGAGCAGGGGTAGTCAACCTTGGCTCTTTTATGACTCGTGGACTTCAACTCCCAGAATTCCTGAGCCAGCTTAGCTCAGCTTAGCTGGCTCAGGAATTCTGGGAGTCAAAGTCCACGAGTCATAAAAGAGCCGAGGTTGCCTACCCCTGAGTTAGAGGTTGGAATGTGTTGACCCGAAAGCATTCTGCACCGTTTGTTTACCAGGATCAGAGATGGAGTTATTGATTTATATCCTGCCTTTATTTTTTTTATAACTAACTCAAAACATACCTTCCTCCTCCTACTTTCCCCACAACAACCCTGTGAGGTGGGCTGGATTGAGAGAGAATGAGTGGCCCAAAGTCACCCAGCCAGCTTTCATGCCTAAAGCGGGATTAGAACTGACTTTTCTCCTGGTGATTGGCCTAAAGTCACCCAGCTGGCTTTCATGCCTAAGGCAGGATTAGAACTCACTGTCTCCTGATGATTGGCCTAAAGTCACCCAGCTGGCTTTCATGCCTAAGGCGGGATTAGAACTCACTGTCTCCTGATGATTGGCCCAAAGTCACCCAGCTGGCTTTCATGCTAAGGCGGGATTAGAACTCACTGTCTCCTGATGATTGGCCCAAAGTCACCCAGCTGGCTTTCATGCTAAGGCGGGATTAGAACTCACTGTCTCCTGGTGATTGGCCCAAAATCACCCAGCTGCTTTTCATGGCTAAGGCTGGATTGAACTCACAGTCTTCTGCTTTCTAGCCTGGTGCCTTAACCACTAGACCAGGGGGTCTTCAAACTTGGCCCTTTTATGACTTGTGGACTTCAAATCCCAGAATTCCTCAGCCAGGCATGCTGGCTGAGGAATTCTGGGAGTTGAAGTCCACAAGTCATAAAAAGGCCAAGTTTGAAGACTCCTGGCACTAGACTAAACTGGATTACGGGCAGATTGAGAAAAGAGATTCCCCAGAGAACCCCTTATAAAACCACTGCTTGCAAAGGACATCGTTTCTTTGGCTTGCGTGGCGAACCCAGGTCCCAGCAGCACCGAGCAAAGCCACTCAGAAGGCCCCTTGAGTCAATGAGGGCCAGCAGCATGGCAGGCCGAGAGGGAGGTGCGGCAGACCCGCTCTCACAATGTATATCTTTGAGACAGAAATATACATTTTCTTTGAGAAATAGAAGCAAAAGCGCTAGAAAGCCCAGTCTAGCCAATTACATACTCGTACCCTCCTGCGAACTCGGGTTCGGCTCGGCCGAGGAGGTGGGCGATGAAGTCGGTCTCGCAGCAGACATGAATGTGGTGCTCGTGGGGGCAGCAGCGCAGGCCCTCGTAAAGGGTGGCACAATAACCTTTCTCCTTGCTGCAGTCCAGCTCGCCGATCAGGATGGTGTAAGCCCGCAAGACTTTGTTTTTGCAGTCGGTGCAAAACCTAGTTCAGGAAAAAAAAGAAAGGGAATTATAGTATGTCTTTTACAGTGTGCCTTTTTTTTTAAACCTAGTTCAGAAAAGGGAATTAGAGTATCTTTTTTTAAAAACCTAGTTCAGAAAAGAAAATTAGAGTATGTCTTTTTTAAAACCTAGTTTAGAAAAGGGAATTAGAGTATGTCTTTTTTCAAACTAGTTCAAAAAAGGGAATTAGAGTATGTCTTTTTAAAACCTAGTTCAGAAAAGGGAATTAGAGTGTCTTTTTAAAACCTGGTTTAGAAAAGGGAATTAGAGTATGTCTTTTTTAAAACCTGGTTTAGAAAAGGGAATTAGAGTATGTCTTTTTTAAAACCTAATTCAGAAAAGGAAATTAGAGTATGTCTTTTTTTTAAACCTAGTTCAGAAAAGGGAATTAGAGTATGTCTTTTTTAAAACCTAGTTCAGAAAAGGGAATTAGAGTATGTCTTTTTTTAAAACCTAGTTCAGAAAAGGGAATTAGAGTACCGGTATGTCTTTTTTAAAACCTAGTTTAGAAAAGGGAATTAGAGTATGTTTTTTTAAAAAATCTAGTTCAGAAAAGGGAATTAGAGTATGTCTTTTTAAAAACCTAGTTCAAAAAAGGGAATTAGAGTATGGTGTGTATTTTTTTCTAAAAAAAGAGTGAAACTACTTGATAGAAAGACATGTTTTAAGGGAGAAATCCTTAATGGAAAGACATTTGCCAGATGCAGTTTTCATGGTGATCAATAATTGGATGTACAGGTAGTCCTCGACTTACAACCAATTATTTAGTGACTGTCCAGAGTTACAACCACACTGAAAAATAGCAACAGAAATAGCACTTAGACTTATATACCACGTCACAGTGCTTTACAGCCCTCTCTAAGCGGTTTACAGAGTCAGCACATTGCTCCCAACAGTCTGGGTCCTCATTTTGAAATATACAGGGAGAGTCCAGGAAGAAGCAGATTCACTTAATAACTTAACAAGTGCAGTGATGCATTTAACCATTGTGGAAAGACGGGTCGTGAAATCGGGCAAAACTCACTCAACAACTGTCTCGCTTTGCAACAGAATGTTTTAGCTCAATGCTGGTCGTAAGTCGAGGACAACCCGTAAAGGAGTTTGTAGGCTCCTGAGAGGCTGATCAAAATAATCTAAAAAAAAAAATTAAAAACTGCCGAGTTGTTATTCAGACGCTGAGTCGTGTCTGACTCTTCACAATCCCACAGACCACAACATGCCAGGCCCAAATTCACAGTCCTTGTGTCCATGACACTATCTAACCACCTCGTGCTCTGCGGTCAGTGGTGGGATTCAGCTGGTTTGCACCAGTTTGGCAGAACCGGTAGCTAATTTTTTGTTGCCCAGGCCCAGAATGGACTTCCGGAAGCGGCATCCACACAGAGAACCGGTTGTTCACATATTTGAATCCCACCACTGTCTGCGGTCCCTTCTCCTTTGGCCTTCCATCTTTTCCCAATATCAGGGTCTTCTCCGAGGAGTCCTGCCTTCCCCATTTGGTGGCCAAAGTATTTGATCTTCGGGCTCTGTCCTTCCAGAGAACAGGCAGGGTTGATTTCCTTCAAAGTTCCTATAACTGGATTAATTTCCTTTAAATCCGCCCCCAGACGCTCCATTACTGACCACGCGGAGTAAAATGCCGAACAGGAAGAGAAGGAAAAGGCCGTTTCCAATCCCAGACACTCACCTGTGCTTCCGCAGGTAAGTTTCTAGTGTTTCTAACAGACAGTTAGAATCGATTAAGACGACTTCATCTCGACATTCCTGGGACATGAGTTCCCATATATCCATCCAGCAGCCTCTGAGGAAGGAGCAAAAAAAAAAAAAAAAAAAAGAGAGAGAGACAGAGAATATTTATTTAGGGAATGTATATGGCCATCCACCTCACCTGCGTCTGGATGGCGTTCAATATTACAAAAAATACAGAAAAATGGAAAACCTGTACAAGCTGGAGAAAAGACCACAAAGCCACACACACCCACATTCAGCACAGCGACGCAACGGGCTGCATCCCATACTCAGGGGGGAGCACCGAATATGAAGCCAGGAGAATTAAATAACCATGGTTCTGCGGCATTCACATGTCAGGGAAACCTAACAGTTTCCAATAGCTTGCGAGAGGTTGGTTTTGATCTAGAGCAGGGGTAGGCAACCTTGGCTCTTTTATGACTGGTGGACTTCAACTCCCAGAATTCCTGAGCCAGCATGGCTCAGCATGGAAACCTCTCCATTTCTCCTCAGCGTGGCTGGCCCAGGAATTCTGGGAGTTGAAGTCCACGAGTCATAAAAGAGCCACGGTTGCCTACTACTGATCTAGAGCAGGGGTAGGCAACCTTGGCTCTTTTATGACTCGTGGACTTCAACTCCCAGAATTCCTGAGCCGGCCTGGCTCAGCATGGAAACCTCTCCATTTCTCCTCAGCATGGCTGGCTCAGGAATTCTGGGAGTTGAAGTCCACGAGTCATAAAAGAACCAAGGTTTCCAACCCGATTTATAGGGATCCCTTGACTTATGACTGGTGACTTAACAATCATTTGAAGTTACAGCAGAACTGGAAAAGAGGATTTATGACTAGAATCCAAAGTTTCAATGATCACACACCCCCAGTCACATGACCATATTTTGGACCCTCAATAGTTCGACATGTCCCACGGGCACAGGACTGTGTTTTACAATGATTTTGCTGAAAAACAGCACTTTCTTCCAGGCAAAACCACACAACAGCTAACGGTGTGTTTGCTGAAGAACTGCTGGCAAAAAAGCCATAAAATCAGGTCGGTCACATGACAGACCCCATTTTATGAACATTATGACTTATGACCATATAGGTAGTCCTCGGTTTACAACCATTCATTTGGTGAGCGTTTGAAGTTACAACGGCACAGAAAAAAAAGTGACTTATGACCGGTAACGTCAAACTTCTCAATTTCTTGCTTATTGCTGTTTTTACAAGTGTTGTTTTTTTTTTTTAATCATTATAAGTTTGGCCCTTTGAAAATTATGAGGAGCGTTTGTGTTCTGTTTTACCTGGTTTTTGCATGAAATCTACACAACCGGGTGTTTAAGGAACAATCAAAAGGGATAAAGGAGTCCCTGTACATTTTACTCCGCTAAGAGTTGCCGACGATCAGGAGTGGTGATCAAGTCTGTTTCAAGGCCACTGAGCCAGCGCTGTCCGAAAACATTTCCTCGGTCGTGTGGCCAGTGTGATGCCATGGAACGCTGTTACATTCCCAACGAAGTGGTACCTATTTCAGGTAGTCCTCGACTTACAACAGTTTGTTTCGTGACCGTTCGAAGTTATGGCAGTACTGAAAAACCTAACTTACGAACGTTTTTCACACTTATGACCTTTGCAGCATCCCCATCGGTCACGCGATCAAAATTCAGACGCTTGGCAACTGACTCATATTTGTGACGGTTGCAGTATCCCCACGAGTCACGTGATCCCCTTTTGCAACCTTCTGACAAGCAAAGTCAATGGGGGAAAGCCAGATTCACTTAACAACTGTGCTACTAACTTCACAACTGCAGTGATTCACTTAACAACTGTGTCAAGAAAGATTGTAAAGTGAGGCAAACTCATTTAACAAATGTCTCACTTCGCAGCAGATATTTTGACCTCAGTTGTGGTCGTAAGTCAAGGACTACCGGGATCTGCTCGCCTTTGTGTGCTTTCGAACTGCGGGGTTGGCTGGAGCTGAGGTGAGGACGAGAGCTCGCCCCTGTTGTGTGGCGCTCGGGTCTTGAACCCGGGCTGCTGGCTTTCCAGCCGACGAGCCCAGCGTCTTAACCCACTGAGCCACCGCGTCACCCTATTTAAGAAGCAAACAATTCAATATTTTCCGATATGGTTTACCTGCTGGCTCCCTGGAAAGGTCCACAGTAGAAAGTGATCCTACACTTGCTCTCCTTCCTGTCTTCTTCGCTAGATCTTTTATCTGCACCTAACTTCTCTGTGCTCGGGGTGCTACCGTTCCCTTCGCTAGGGTATACAGCATTAAAAGAAGAATTCAGATGTATTACCACTGGGTCAATGGATGCATTTCTTTTGTGGATCCTTAGGCCTCCTTAGCCCTTCACGGACCCACGTTTAAAACCCTCACAAAACAGAAAATTGATTATGCCACAGGTGTGGAACAACCAGGCCTCCATCTGCGGTTATTGTACTCTGCTCAACTAATCGACAAAAATAAAAGGGCAAGGCCCCATAACGGCATCAAAGGAGCCACGCAGGCTTAGAACGGACAAGCAGAGCAATTAACAGAAGAAGAAAAAAGCCAAATAGGCCTGGAAATTTGGTAACCACTGAACAGCCCCATAAGCGTGAATCATAATGCTTAAAAACGTGCCTCCCTGCCACCGAAGAGGAGTTAAAATTGAATTTCCACTAAAAGAGACTGGAGGGAAAAGTCAGAGCTTGTTGTCTAGAGGCAGTCTTCGACTTACGATGCTACATTTAGTGACTGTTCAAAGTTACAACGGCACTGAAAAAAGTGACATGACCATTTTTCACACTTACGATCATTAGAGCATCCCCGTGGTCATGTGATCAAAATTCAGATGCTTGGCAAGCGATTCATATTTATGACGGTTGAAGTGTCCCGGGGGTTCCTGTGATCCCCTTTTGTGACTTTCTGACAAGCAAAGTCAATGGGGAAGCCAGATTCACTTAACAACCGTGTGACCAGTTAAACAACCGCAGCAATTCACTTACCAACTGTGGCAAGAAAGGTCGTGAAACGGGGCAAAACCCACTTAACAGCTGCCTCACTTAGCAAGAGAAATGTTGGGCTCAGCGGTGATCGTAAGTCGAGGACTCCCTGTATACTCTGAAACCACGGAGTTGATTTCTATTACAAAAATTGACTGTAATTTTTATTACCGTTCATATGGGAAGTCTGAGATCCCCAGAAAATGTTTTGTAGAAGGGGGGGGAATTCAATTTTACATCCCCGATGCTGTCACTTCCAACTGCACGCACACCCCAAAAATAAACACAATGCTTGCCCTGATACAACATTTTTGGGGGGTAAAAATATCACTAAAATGGGTTAAATTGCTTGTTTTCACCCACGATGTTGGCTGGCTAGGGAAGATTTCCATTAAGACGGTGCCACAAATGGGCAATTACTGGTGCCAACCTTCACCAGGGGTTTTTATACTCCTAATTTTTCATTGGTAGAGAAAGTCTGTTTTTAACTCTGTTTTTTTAACATTACAGTTTGAGGCCAGCAGGCACAAAAGCACCATTATTTTGTCCATTTCTTCTTCTTTTCTACATCCAGCTGTTTACCAACTAAGCCACTTCCTGCCAAGGTGTGCCCCCCCAAAAACGACAGACTGGCACCCGTTTCGTGGGTGTGCTTTTTTATTAACACTTACCCCAAGGGTTTCGGTTTGTGTGTGTCCAACGAATGCAATTGGCACCGCTTGTTCTTCTTACTTTTCGGAATTGCATCAATCATTTCATTTAATTTGGACCTTTGGGGAGAGGGGGGGGATGGAAAAAAAAACACTTAAAAAAAAAAACCCGGAGAAGCCCATTCAAACATTATATTTCTCATCCAACATGATTTTGTATGAAGTCCCACTAAAGTTGCTCTTTCATAAACTCTAACTCTACAGGTAGTCCTCAACTTACAACAGTTCATTTAGTGACCGTTCAAAGTTACAATGGCACTGAAAAAAGTGACTTTTTCACCCTTACGACCGTTGCATTATCCCCATGGGGTCACATGATCAAAATTCAGATGCTTGGCAACTGACTTGTATTTGTGATGGTTGCAGTGTCCCGGGGGTCATGTGATCCCCTTTTGCAACCTTCTGACAAGCAAAGTCAATGGGGAAGCCAGATTCACTTAGCGACTGGATCACTAAGTTAACAACTGCTGTGATTCACTTAACAACTGTGGCAAGAAAGGTCATAAAGTGGGGCAAACTCACTTAACAGCTTTCTTGCTTAACAGCACAAATTTTGGACTCAGTTGTGGTTGTTAAGTCTACCTGCATTTGCAGGATGTCGACAGCTATCTTGGGATTGCGGCTAGTGTGAGGTTTAGGTGTGGACTATGTAATAATCTGTGGGTAAAGGAGTGGCATAATCCCCGTAGGAAACCATAGCTTGTCATTGGCTGACTGACTTGCCTAGATCAAGACCCGCCAGGGTGCAGTCAGAGGTTCATCTATGGTTATTTTCCTATTCCAGCCTTCAGCCAAATCTTGGAGTGGCCACAAATGAAGTCACTCTACCCCAATGTATCTATGATTCTTTTCCCACTCTGCACAGAAGGTGAATTGGGCAATCACTAAATTTGACAAAACAGGGGTGGGCAGCTATGGCCCCTTTACATCCTGTGGACCAACTCCCAGAATTCCTGAGCCAGTCCACAAGTTGTAAAGGATCCATTGTTGCTCATAGGAAAGAGATAGATTGAGCACATAGAGAGATGGACAGATGGATAGATAGATGGATGGATGGACGAATAGATGGAGGGAGGGATGAATAGATAAAAAGTGAATGGGAGACAAAAAGGTCTTCAAATGGGTCAGATCAGAAAAGGTTAAATGTTTTTTAAATGAAACTATAAAAAAATAAATAAAAAACCTGGTGGAGTTTGCTGGTGTCAACCCTTCAAGGCAGGCCAATTCAAAGAACAGGTGAGATAAATTTTCCAGGAGTGCAACTACTTTATTAACAGAATCTTGAAGACCTGTCCAGGTTTCTCTCCATCTCATCTTACATTAAACAAAAATCAAGATAGGGTGATCTTGATTCCCCCCTCCCACTTCCCTCTATCTCGGGACTGTACAATTTATGCAATTTTTTGCAAGTTCCCTCTTGAAGGACTTACGCCTGCCTCAAATCTGCTTACTACTTTATTCATTTGTTAAAATTTATATGCTATCTGTCTCATGGGTCATGGCAACTATGAGCAGCTAATAGCCAGACAGCCAAGAAAATGGAGGATAAAAACAAATGAATACAGTAGAGTAGAGTAGAGTAGAGTAGAGTAGAATAGAAGTAGAATAGAATAGAACTTTGTCACTTTAAATGTACACTAACCAGCATACATTAAAATGAGATTTCGTTGCATACAGCTCTCAAAGGGTAACTTCCAATATACACCACATAAACATGACAAAAATGAATAAATAAGATTATGCATATACCCATATACACATATATATGTGGCCCAGAGAAACAACATAGTCTAGTTCAGATGTATACATATATCTGGCGAGAAAAATGAATCTTGTGAGTTTACCAGATGGATAGCATAGGGGAACATAGGGAACAAATTACCGCTCCTCATAGTTTTGCTATCTTGCCTGGCATCCAACCGATGTGACTTAACCAGTTTAGCACCAAAGTCAGCTTAGTGGATCATGCAAATACAGCAGTCCTCGCCTTACAACCATTCATTTAGTGACTATTCAAAGTTACAATGGCACTGAAAAACATGACTTATTACCAGTTTTCACACAACCATTGCAGCCTTCCCATGGTCATGTGATCAAAAATCGGGCACTTGGCAACTGGCTCGTATTTATGACGGTGGCAGTGTCCCCGGGGTCTTGCGATCACCTTTTGCGACTTTCTGACAAGCAAAGTCAATGGGGAAGCCAGATTCACTTAACAACCATGTTACTAACTTAACAACTGCAGTGATTCACTTAGCAACTGTGGCAAGAAAGGTCACTCAATGGGGCAAAACTCACTTAACAAGTGTCTTGCTTAGCAACAGAAATTTTGGGCTTAACTGTGGTCGTAAGTTGACGGCTACTTGTATGGAGACAGCTTTATGAAGGCTTTCCCCTTAAAAAAAAAAAAAAAAAATCTCCCCACCCACTCCTGAGTGATATGGCAAGATGCTGGCCCTCAGTGATCTTACCCATGCACATAGAAAAGCGTGTAAAGCTTCTTTGCATCCCTCATGCAGCTCGGAGTGACAGAAAGGATTCCCTTTGACCCGACCGTGAGGGGCTCGAGGGCGGGGTTGCCGGACTCCACCAGCTGAGAGAAGAGGCGCTCCACGCTACGGCGGCAGCCAACACAGGGGACAAGCTGAGAAAGGGCGCTCAGGACTTCACGTGACGTCACCATCATGGCGATGTTCAAATCTTGCTGCTTCAGCATGCTATGCCTCTGGAGAGGGGAAAGAGGAAACGGTTTAAAGCGGTTCAGGGCAGTACAGACTGCTGTAGTTAGGAAAGTATGTTTGTTTGCTTGTTGGTTTGCAAAATTTATACAGCCACGCATCTTAATAGAGTAACAGAGTTGGAAGGGACCTTGGAGGTCTTCTAGTCCAACTCCCTGCTCAGGCAGGAAACCCTATACCAGGGGTAGGCAACCTTGGCTCTTTTATGACTCGTGGACTTCAACTCCCAGAATTCCTGAGCCAGCCATGCTGAGGGGAAAGGGAGAGGTTTCCAAGCTGAGTCATTCTGGCTCAGGATTTCTGGGAGTTGAAGTCCACGAGTCATAAAAGAGCCAAGGTTGCCTACCCCTGGGCTAAGCCATTTCAGATAGATGGCTGTCCAGTCTCTTCTTAAAAACCTCCAGTGTTGGAGCAGCCACTTCTGGAGGCAAAGTTGTTCCACTGATTCTACCTGTCAGGAAATTTCTCCTCAGTGCTAGGTTGTTTCCCGTTTGATGAGTTTCCATCCCTTGCTTCTTGTCCTGCCTTCAGGCGCTTTGGAGAATAGCTTGACTCCCTCTTCTTTGGGGCAGCCCCTGAGATATTGGAACACTGCTATCATGTCCCCCCTCGTCCTTCTCTTCATTAAACTAGACATACCCAATTCCAGCAACTGTTCCTTATATGTTTTAGCCTCCAGTCCCCTAATCATCTTTGTTGCTCTTCTCTGCACAATTTCTAGAGTTTTAACATCTTTATATTGTGATGACAAAACTGGATGCAACATTCCATCTTAAACAAACATCTCTGGGTGGCCACAAATAATATATAAAAATCACAAGCTATATATATAGCGCTTAGACTTATATACCGCTTCACAATGCTTTACAGCCCTCTCTAAGCGGTTTACAGAGTCAGCCTATTGCCCCCAACAATGTGGGTCTTCATTTTGCCGACCTCAGAAGGATGGAAGGCTGAGTCAATCAGCCTTCCGCCAGGATCAAATTCAAGTTCTTCATCTACTTTAGTCTCCAGTCCTCTAATCCAGAATTTCCCAACTTTTCCAGGTTTGGCAGCCCGGGAGGGGGGATGATTTTGTGGGTGCAGCAGGCACATGGTGCACACATGCACGGACACTGTTCCTTGCGCGAGTGGGGCCAAGAGTGCCTGTGAAGCGTGCGAGGCCTTGAGGGGTTATTCCGCTCACGCAAGTGAGGCCCCGAACGTCTACAATGCTCGCGCAAGTGGGCCCACAAAGCTTGCACACAGCCCAGAACGCCTGTGGTGCTCATATGAGGCCCCCAAATGCCCGTGACGCTCATGTGAGTGGGCCCACAAAGCTCACCCAAGGCCCAGAATGTCTGAGACGCTCATATCAGTGAGGCCCCCAAATGCCTGTGACACTCACGCAAGTGGGCCCACAAAGCTCGCCCAAGGCCCTGAATGCCTGTGACCGTTCGTATGAGGGCCCCAAATGCCCATGACACTCGCGCAAGTGGGCCCACAAAGCTCGCATGAGGCCCAGAACGCCTGTGACGTTCGTATGAGGCCCCCGAATGCCTGTGACGCTCGCGCGAGTGGGCCCACAAAGCTCGCATGAGGCCCAGAACGCCTGTGATGCTCGTATGAGTGAGGCCTGCAAATGCCTGTGACGCTCCCGTGGGCCCACAAAGCTTGCACGAGGCCCAGAATGCCTGTGATGCTCATATGAGGCCCCCAAATGCCTGTGATGCTCATGTGAGTGGGCCCATAAAGCTCGCACAAGACCCAGAACGCCTGTGATGCTCGTATGAGGCCCCCGAATACCCGTGATACTCGCGTGAGTGGGGCTGTGAGCATTTGTGCGCACACACACACACACACCCATTAGCCAGCCACTCACGCAGCCCGGTTGTGAATAGGCCACAGACCAGTAGTGGGACGCGGCCCACAGGTTGGGGATCCCTGCTCTAATCATCTTTGTGATTTTTTTAAAGCCCCAGCCCTCGGATCTTGCAACATAAGATACTGCCGTACCTGAATGAACTGCTTCAACTGAGCTCCGTTGTGCTGATGTCCATCGAGGCTTAGCATGTTATCAGGAAATTCCATCACCATCTGCACGAAAAGAACGTGGACAGTTGAGTTCTGGCACCAGGTAGAAAAGCAGGAGTGGAGGCCACAGGGACTATTTGTACCGTCTCCGCCGCAGCCCTTTTGACTGGGGGGATGTTCGTTACATAAAACACACGGATGTGAGGGTAAGATTTTGGCAGGGTGCCCATGCTGCAGAACGGACATGGCCATTTTAAGACCTTGTCTGCGAGTCACATACAGGTAGTCCTCGACGTACATCGGTTCATTTAATGAGTGTTAAAAATTACAACAGCACAGCAAAAAGTGACTTAGGACCGTTTCTCATACTTCCGACCGTTGCAGCATCCCCCACAGTCACAATTAAAATTCAGACCCTTGCCAACTGGTTCATATTAGTGATGGTTTCAGTGTCCCCAGGGGTCATGTGATCCCCTTTAGCAGCCTTCCGACAAGCAAAGTCAATGGGGAAGCCAGATTCAACTAACAACCATGTTACGAATTTAACAACTGCAATGATTCACTTAACCAATAGTGGCAAGGAAATTTGTAAAATGGGGCAAAACTCACTTAACCAATGTTTCACTTAGCGACATAAATGTTGGGCTCCATTGTGGTCGTACATTGAGACCACCTGTAGTCACTCTGTCACTTCCTTCGAGGCAATCTATCCAAAGTCACACATTGGAAGACCTCTCCCTGCTCAAGTCACTAGATTCATATATCAGTGGAGACAAGGAATGCGGACAGTCCTTGACTTACAATCATTTGTTTAGTGACCGTTTGCGTGAAACTCTGAAGAACAGTCGTAAGTCCCCTTTTTTCAGGGGCGTTGAACGGTCACTAAACAAATGTACCCAACTTGAGAAAATCCACAGAAGTAGCAAGAATAACCCAGGTGTCCCTTTGGCAGCCTCTAAGCCAGGTCCCTTTATCCAGGGGTGTCTGCAGGGGAGGGCTCCGAAAATTCAAAATGGTGGCCAAGGTGGAGCAATGTAAGCCCCGCCCCTTTTCTACATATATATGTCACAATGCACACGAAAGCAGCACAACCTCAATTTTATGGTTGTGGCCATCGTTTCCTTCCTCCTATTACATATCCTTCTCCATTTAGCAGGCCTGGTGCCTGGATTTTTCAGCGATGTCTCCCCTGCTATTTTATTCCGGCTGCTCTTTGTACCTAGTTCATTTCAGATTTTTTCAGAATATATACAGGTAGTCCTCAACTTACAACAGTTCCTTTAGTGACCATTCAAAGTTACAACAGCCCTGAAAAAAAGTGGCTTATGACCATTTTTCACACTGACCGCCACTGCAGCACCCCCTTGGTCACGTGATCAAAATTCAGATGCTTGACAAGTGGCTCCTATTTATGACGGTCGCCGTGTCCCGGGGTTACAAGATCAGCTTTTGTGACCTTCTGACAAGCAAAGTCAATGGGGAAGCCAGATTCACTTAACAACCGTGCTACTAACTTCACAACTGCAAGGATTCACTTAACGATGGTGGCAAACCCGTTTAACAAATGTTTCACTTAGCGACATAAATTTTGGGCTCTGTTGTGGTCGTAACTCGAGGACTACCTGTACTGACAATTTATTTCCGGGTGCAATTCAAGGTGCTGGTCATTACCTTTAAAGCCCTAGATGGCACAGGGCCAGGTTATCTGCAGGACTGCTGTTCCCTATAGACATCTACTCATCCTACCAGGTCAGATATGGTCCCTTCCCCCTAAATATTGTCATCTGATGGGAGCTAGGAAGCACATCTTTTCCATGACAGCCCCAGCCTTATGGAAGAGGTCCCCAACCCCCGGTCTCTGGACCGGTACCGGGCCACGGCATGCCAGCAACCGGGCCGCACAAACAAGTAAAGCCCCATCCTCGGGATGCAGGCAACACACAAAACCACGTCCCCTCTGGTCCATGGAAAAACCTCTCTCCACGGAACCGGTCCCTGGTGCCCAAAAGGTTGGGGACCTCTGCCTTATGATGCATTCTACCCCATGAAGTTGGGCAGGCTTCTTAAGCTTTAACTTTCCATAAGACTTTGAAGATCTGCCTTTTCTCCTAAGTGTTGGGAAAAAAATTAGTGGATGCCCCTTTAGCACAGATTGATGCTAATGGGTGCTAAACTGTTTTTAACATTTTACGATTCAACTGGCTTATAGTTTTAATATGATTTTATGCAGGTGCATCGTCCTCAACTTACAACCATTCGTTTAATGACTGTTCCAAGTTACCACGGCACTGAAAAAGGTGACTTATGGCCAGTTCTCACACTGATGGCTGGAGCAGCATCCCCATAGTCACACGGTCAACCTCAGGGTGCTTGGCAACCGGCATGTGTTTACGAGGGGTTGTAACGTCCCAGGATCCTGGGATTGTCACTTGCAAGCTTACCATTTTTCACACAACCGTTGCAGCCCTCCCCCATCCCATTGGTCACGTGATCAAAATTCGGGCACTTGGCAACTGACATGTATTTATGATGGTTGTAGTGTCCCGGGGTCATGCGACCCACTGACAAGCAAAGTCAACGGAGGAATGCCAGATTCGCTTCATGACTGCATGGTTCGCTTCATGACTGCATGATTTGCTTAATGACTGCATGATTCGCTGAAGAAGCCCTGGCAAAAAGGGTTGTAAAATGGGAAACGACTCGCTCGGCAACACACCTTTTCCGTGCTTGGCAACGGAAATGTGGGCCTCAATTGTGGTCTTTTAATTTGGATGTCTTTTAATTTGGATGGGACGTTCATCCAGAGTTGTTGAAAAGTTAAGACGGGTGGATAAATATTTTTAAATAAATAAATATTTAACGGCTAAGAAGCACACTGATCACAAGGGCCTGCTCTCAACTAACCCTTGCCCCCCAGTGCCAAATCTTTGAAGTGGATTGCTCAACTTGTTCTTTGATGAGGTCAAGGGTCTTGGAGGAAGGATCTTGTCCGCTTCTGACCGAGTGCAAAGGAAAGACCTTTGATCTAATCCAACATTCCTCTGCCTCACATCGTAAAGAAGGGTGCCCTCTCTATGCAAGCATTCTCTGAGGCGGGAAACAAGGGTTGGAAGCTGATCAAAGAGAGAAGCAACCTGGAATTAAGGAAAAACTTCCTGACAGTGAGGACAATCAACCAGTGGAACAGCTTGCCACCAGAAGTTGCAAGTGCTCCATCACTGGAGATCTTTAAGAAGAGACTAGACCAGGGGTAGTCAACCTTGGCTCTTTTATGACTCGTGGACTTCAACTCCCAGAATTCCTGAGCCAGCTAAGCTGTCTGAGATGGTATAGGGCCGTGGTGGCGAACCTGTGGCACGCAGAGCCCTCTCTGTGGGCACGCGCACCGTCGCCCCAGTCCTAGGCCTTCAGCTGGGTATTATAAAACCTTTTTGCTTTAGGCCTCTGCTGCCGTGTGCAAAAAAAAAAAAAAGGTTCAATCAATCAATTTCAACTTCTTGCGGGAAAAAAAAGATCTCGCAAAGTTGGAATTGATTGATTGAACTTTTTAGTCCCACCCAGTCTGCCGTTACCACCGCAGCCACGCCCACCCAATGGGCCACGCCCACCCAGCACCTGACAATACATAAGTAGGTTTTGGGTTGCAGTTTGGGCACTCGGTCTCTAAAAGGTTCACCATCACTGGTATAGGTCCTCCTGCTTAAGCGGCGGGCTGGACTAGAAGACCTTTAAGGTCCCTTCCAGCTCTATTCCTATTCCTATTCTATCTATGGAGATTCTCAGTCATCCAGGTCAGGGTTGTCCCAAAGGTGCTTTTTCAGGAGGCAACTGGACTTTCTTGTTTTTTCTTTGAAGACCAGTCCGAAGAAAGTCCAGTTGCCTCCTGGAAAAGCACCTTTGGGACAACCCTGACCTGGATGACTGAGAATCTCCATGGACATTTAGCCGTGCACTTTGGGATGGACACCCTTCGAATGGTGAAGGAGTATAAATGGATTTCCAGAAAACATTGCAGACTACAGGAACCGTTTGCGCTTCAGTTTGAGATGCAGACAACACAAACTCATCCCCAACAGCCTGTGTGCCTGTTTTCAACACAGAAGGGACCCAGGGCAGAAAACATCCTGCAGCCAAGAAGGCTCCACAAACATTTGCACCACTCAGGTGACCCTGAGGACACAGGTAACCCTCCAGGTGGCCTCAAGGACTCTCTAAAAGAGTGTAAATGACCAGCTGTCTGCAAGGAGTATGAATCCTTCCATTCCCCACCATCCAGTCAGAGCCGAAGAAGCTTCTTGGATGAGAAGCAAAACGTCTTCAAAGAAAAACAAGAAAGTCCATTTGCCTTCTGAAAAAAGCATCTTTGGGACTCTCCAGAAGGAAAGCTGCACCAAAACTGCCTTCTAACAATACAGTACAGATAGTCCTTGACTTACAACAGTTCATTTAGTGACCGAGTTTACAACAACACTGAAAAAAGTGACTTATATACCGTTTTTCACACTGACGACCGTTGTAGCATCCCCCGTGGTCAAAATTCAGACACTTGGCAACTGACTCACATTTATGACGGTTGCAATGTCCCCGGGGTCACGTCATCACCTTTTGCAGCCTTCTAGCAAAGTCAACGGGGGAAGCCAAATTCGGTTCCCAACCGTGTTACCAACTTAACAACTGCAGTGATTCACTTAACAACTGTGGCAAAAAAGATTGTAAAATGGGGGCACAAACTCACTTAACAAATGTCTCTGCTCAGTAACCGAAATTTTGGCCTCAGTTGTAGTTGTAGGTCAAGGACTACCTGTACATCTTAAAGCTAGTAATAAATAAATAATAACTCCTAATAAATGTTTATTAATCAAATAAAAAATGGCTGTTTTCAAACAGCTGGGAAAAATACTGACTTGCGGGGGGGAAAAAACAGCCAAGGTTGACACTGCAGTTTAGTCCTTGACTTACAGCCACAATTGAGATGGGAGTGTTTGTCATAAATTGGTCGTAAAGCGAGTCATCATGTGACTGGACCTGATTTTTTAAGTCCATTTTTACTGCGGTTGTTAGGA